TCACAGGACTCTTAGATGACAAGGTAGCTTTTGAACTCAACACTTCATGTCTCTAAGCCTGATATGCTAGTCTATATAGTTTTTGAAAGTTACTAATGCCTTTTGAGAGCATACAAAATGATATGCAATGTTTATCCCCTTGCTAACTTGAGAAGAACTAGTTCAGAAAATCTTTTTTAATGTGATTTGTACAGAATGCTATAAGTAAGATTTGGGTTGATTTCACTTGGTTATGGCACTTCCATACTGAAATATTCAGATAAGCATCAGATTATTCAACTCATTTATCCCATTTAGTGAGAGTAGATTTAAATGAAAATTCTTTGTCTTTTTTAATTCAGCTGCACAGAGAAGGGCAGAATGTCATTTTTGTAACTATGTTTACTGGCATCTGCAGCTAAGTAACTATACAAATGCCTGAAATGAGAATTACAAAGAAATAAGTGGAATGAAAAGCTGATTGGAGGTCTCTACATGTTTGTACTTCACAAGAATTATAACTGTCTCATGAAAAACACCCTAATGAAATTGTAGATTTGATACATTTTCCTTTTTTTCTTTAAAACATTTACAGCTTATATTCATGCTACCAGAGTAGAAGCTCATTGAAGGCACAGATTCCTTTAATTTGCTTTTTGTAAACCCCATATCTAGGAAAGCAGCTTTATATACCATAAACAGTCAATAAATATTTGTTAAATTGAACTAAAGAAGACTTTAAAATCTAGATAAATTTTAAAGGCATATAGCTACATGTAGACATGATGACTTCCTAGCCAGAACAATTATGTACAAAAAGTGTTGTTGTTTGGTCATGTCTGAATCTTGATGACCCTGTATGAGGTTTTCTTGGCAAAGATACTGGAGTGGTTTGGCATTTCCTTCTTCAGCTCATTTTATAGGTGGGGAAACTGAGGCGAGCAGGGTTAAGTCTTTAGTCTTAGTATATTACCAGCTCAACAGTTTTTCTAATCATGCATTTCTTTTCTGATATATTTTACAAGGTAGCACAGTGGATAGAGTGCCAGGCCTGGAGTCAGAAAGACTCGCCTTCCTGAGTTCAAATCTGGTCTCACATACTTGCTAGCTGTGTGACTGTAGGCAAGCCATAACCAACTCAACACTCACTGTGTGTCTCTCTATTGTCCTTAATAACCCACAGTTTTAATTCTTATGGGATAATGGTAGTTATAAATTTTGCAGCCAGATGGAATCCCTTGGAGAATATTATGACTGAAAGTCTTTTTGTTTGGACAGGGAGCAGTTGGAAACTGCTGAAGGCACAACAAATTCCTAAATAAAATCTCTTTGTTTCCTCTTCAATTCTGAGGTCAACTTGTTGTCCATCTATGTAATTTTTGGAAGTAACTAATCTATGTTGCCTGTCCAAGGAATAAGAACTAATGGAGTAACTCCATAGGCTGTCCATCCCGTTATACCTTAAGATCAAGACAATAGGCAGGGCTGTTGGTATCCTTGGTTTTTCTTGCATAAACTGCTATATTATCTTTTTTTAAGTGGCCCTGGCTTTCACTAAAGTAACTTTATAGTGTCTTGGAACTTAACTGCAATCAGCATGTCATTCACAAACAGGAATAACTGGAAGACCTCATCATCTATAGAGAATCCTTTTTGCATTTGGAGTCTGCACAAACTATCCTCTGATAGTGTTTGTTTTACATTATAATATTTATAATCAGAGGTTTGCTGAACAGTTACCTCTGTGATTGCACCTATCAAGGTTTCTTGTATAGTCTTAATATATGGATGAGAAACATCTGTTGGAAGAGGCCTTTATGGCTGCATTTTATTTTCTTGAATAAAAAAAGTTTTTTTTTTAAATAATCAGCAAATACTTAATGCAATGGCATTTTGTATTTTTTATATTTTACAGCCAATTGTGTGACTGTGAGGAAGTCCTCTGGTGTAGAAAATCATCTACAAAAACCAGCTTGTCCCACTGTCATATTTTCATCAAGGATACTTTTGATAGGTTTATTCTTTAAAAGTTTTTAGAGAGATAAGAAGGTATGTGATACAGTAGTTGCTCATGTCTTCATGTTTACCTTTTTGTGTAAGGGGGGGTGATAATATGATTTCCCTCCCATTCTTTTGTTATCTTTCACTCAGATAGCTTAAAAAAATTCCATTTCATTACTTTGAAAGATATTGCTTCCAGTGTGAATTTCTTCTCTATTTAGTTTGGTTCCACTTTTCTTCATAAACTTCTCTTCCTAAGTGCCTTTCCTCTTTCTCAGATGAGAATGAAGTATTGAGTCCAAATATGGTAGTTCCATTGACTTCAATTATGACAATATATTACAATCCTGTTTTGTTCCGTTTTGCATCTATTTGTTGCCTCCTTCAAATTTCATTTATAAATGTTCTTGAGATGATCTGGACTGGTTGAGTTTTATGCATGTTTTCTACACTTATTTCCCTTCTATTGGTCTTCAATTGTTAAATCGTAGCAGTCTTTTTTTATCCTCCTCTATAATATTTCTCAAATGAGTTTGTTTTATAAATCAGTGTTGCCTTTGGATGCTATATCTTTCTCCTTGATAAGAAGATCAAGTATTTGCTGGCTGAAGTAGTTTTCAGGTCCTTCTAATCTCATTTTGGCTTTTTCCTTACATTGTCTAAACTTCTAAAAGACATAATGATAATAATATTTAATGTTTTTACCTTTGTCTATTTCCCATTAAAAAAATCAATGTTTAAAAAAATTGACTTGTTTGAACATATAGGTTTGTGGCTATTAATAGTTTTATGTGCTGTCCTTTCATTTTTTTCTTGTATTTTGGTGTTGATTTGCACTTCTGTTCTAACTAATGGTTTGTGAGATCCCTTTCAGTCCAAGATCTGTGATTCTATGATTCTAGACAATGATCTGACTGAACGTAGATAAAAGATTCTGAAACCACTCCTGTATCACTAACTAGTCATTTCTTGCCCATCAAGATATATTTAATTTTATCTTTTTTGGTTGTGATGTTGTTTGGTGTTTGCCACATCTAGAACTTTCCAACTCTGCCTCTGAGGAAAGTATTCATCATATTCCAGCAGTGGTAGTCTATAAACCTTTTGGGTCTTTTTATTCCTTATCTTGATCCTTATTTTCCAACATTTTTTTTTTTACTTTCCTACCTATGCCTACCTTTACCTCACAGTTAACAAGTATCGAAGTGTACATTGACTTGACTTGGAAAATCTCCTGAAGATTTTTTTAGACTTTCTCTACTTTGACATTCTCTACAACAAATGTTGCTTAGATTGGAACTAACTTCATGGAGGTCTTTCTGATTATGCTCAATATAAACATTGTAAGGTCAGATGACCAAACATTTCCACCTACTTGTCTTTGTGCAAATGATTAAACCAACTTCAACTAATCCATGATGTTTTTTACTTTTTTGTGTCATGGATCCATTTGGTAGTCTGGTGACCTTCCTTCTCAGAATAATGTTTTTAAATGCATAAAATAAAATATAATGTTTTAGAAAGGAAACCAATTTTGTTAAAATATAGTTATCAAAATATATTTTAAAAAAAGATTCATGGAACCCACATGGGAACCCTGCTTTATAGTTCTGTTGTGAGTCTTCTCCCTACACTTGCTTTTGGTAAACTGATGACCTCTAAAGGATATTCTAAGTCTCCATCTATGATCCTGTGATCTCATCTGCTTCCAAGGGTTCAATTATCATCTCTGCAAAGGGGACTGTTTCCACTCTCCTCTTTCATTGACGTTTTCAAGGAGAATTTGTAAGCCATCCTTTTTTATAGCTTCAACTTCCTTTTGTCTTCTGGCTTAATTTGTAGTAAGAATGTCAGTATTGGTGTGGTTCTTCTAGTTGCATATTGAATTGTTGGTCATTGGACAAAGAGCTCACATTTAGAGGAGTACCATCCATTGCATCCATCCATCCATCCATCCATCCATCCATCCATCCATCCATCCATCCATCCATCCATCCATCCAT